TCGAATGCGAATGAAGCAAATGCCAGTACGGAAGCAAAAGACAAGCGTGCCTCTTCGCTAATAAGACAAGCGTAATTCCCTTTTTAACATTTTCTACTTTTTATTATTTATTTTTTAACTATTTTTTATTTTAAGTTGCTTTTTATTTTTGTATTATTATACAGCTTATCATTTTTTCGTTATTATACACATATTTCAATAATCTTAAATTATGGTACTTGGTATTAACACGCAATATATTTAACTGGAACTAACAGTCGCACATCACACTAACCATCTATGTATGTGCATTTAAATGGCAAAAATGCCAGATGGAAATATACTCAATGACTATTTTTAATTTCCTAATAGCATAAGAGTTAGAAGATGTATGAGTCAAATATCAAACAAGTTTTTTTGGGTAGTTGATTTTTGAATCCTATTTTTCCACCAAACTTTTCACGGCCGGTTTTCATGTTTATGCTGAATTTCGATTTGTTATTTTCTACTGGCATGTAAAAATACATGCCTAATTTCCACTGGGCACTTAAAGTACGAGAATTATCTACGATTTAACAAATGGTACATGGAAACAAATTTAATAACTATTTCTTATCGAGTTTGTCCCTTTAATATCCAATAAAAATCCGGCATTAATATAACGAACACATATCCAGAAAGCAATGCTTTTCAATAAATTTCAAGGAACTGGTTTTTAGTCTTTAATTTGTCTTTTGTTTTACATAACAAAAAAAAGGATAAAAGCCTGCGATAATACATCTACATTCGATTTATTTATATTTCTTGAAAGATGCATGTGTTTTTCTTTGATGATTTTCGTCGAATTCTTACATAAAATACAGTTTTCAGAAAAATGACAGTCAACTCCTTCGTATTTTGAAACTCTCACAACAGTCGGGCCTCTTCGAAGAAAACCGTCTGTTTATAGTACGTCTGCTAGTTCTATCCGAACTTTGTTAATATCCGGATAATCTGGATATTGGAATACCTAATTAATAAATCCGAATTTCCGGATTTTCGAATCTAAAAATAAAATAAAATAACAATTGTCGTGTTTTAATGACAACTCAATACTTTCAGTAGTTTTGAGAACAATCAAAGAAAAATAGCTAAATATGCACATATGCTAAATTTTTTTTTTTTTGTAATTTAAAGTTACTTCCTAATTCTTTATAAGAAGAATTAATTGGCCAGCAAAAAAGCTTAAAACGCCATCTCCAATTTTAAATTAAATTATAAAATTATAAATTAATTTCAATGTCCTTTAAAAAATTAGTGATAGATTTATATGCTTTGCCATTAGTATTTTGATGAAATTCAATTAATGATGAAGTATTTTTGAGTATTGGGTATTTATCACGTGAATTGTTATATTTGTTACA